AAAATACATTTTATATGTCATGTGTTGCTTTACTTATACGATGTACTTATGCGTATGTCATAATTTTTTGTTGTAAAATTTGATTTGACTTGGATTCTCCAAAAATTGGAATCGCCTCGGTTACCTAAAGGCTTAGGATGCTCACACGGAATGCAGATCCGGATTCGATTCCCGGTCGAGGTAATATTGTATTTTTCGCAATAAGAATTCATTATTTACAGATTTTAATATGTCATTCAACATTATTAAGATTCGAAAATGTGAATAAGCTTCAAAAATTTGTTAAATTGCTAGTCAATTTAACTTGTGATATTACTGCGGTAATTTAGTAGACTTAGCTTTTCAAGACGGAAAAATCATTTCGGCGCGCGTTTCTAGGAACTATAGTAGTACATAAATTCACACAAGAATCATACAAACATTAAGATCCTAGTATTAAGGCTTTGATTTCTATTTTATGCTGTTTATGCTGAAAATCTGTAAATTTTTTATTATTTTAAATTATTTTTAATCATTTCTATAGGTTATTCAATTGAACAACTTTAATTGAGGAAAATTTATTAAATTTGACTAAAAATTATTCTTACTGAATGTATAGGCTAATATGGATATTACTTACTTTGAAATGAAGCAATTCAATCACAGAAATGGATTTTTTATTTTGACAAACATGGAAATTTAAAATTTACTATCTGGATCATAAGTTATTTTATAAAATAAATAGTAGTATTTTTTAAATCTGTGCTTTAATAAAAATATATGGAACGTATTATAAAATAACTTTCTATTTTATATAAATTTCTATTTTTTAAGATAAGTACATTATGTATTCAAGATTATTTATGTAGAGTCACATTGCGATACATGAACTAGTTGTCCAGTAAACAAAATATTTATTTGTTCTATGTAACTAATCAGTGAATTGCAATGAAACTTTGCATAAATTATTTTGAATATTTAAAGTATTTATAAAAGAAAAATGTAAATTTTTTTATCATTAACAAATTTTAATTTTAACAAAAAATACAAATATTAAATAAAATAAATTAATTACAAAAATGTATTATAAAATAAAAATATAATCTTATTCACATAAATTTTATATGTATATAGTTTATTTGAAATGTAAATATTAAAATAAACATACTTCCACATTAAATTTTTTTTGCAGGGACTGTACGTCTAATACATTGTTAAGCTTATTTTCTCTTCTTTCACGTTTAATTAATTTATTACTTGTATTAATCATATTATAATTAATTTAAGAAGTATTTCTTGATGCTATTAAAATTGGAAACGTTACGCAGGAAGTTTTAGCTGATTCTTTACAATCAATCGTGCGAAAATTATGTCTGGAACTCAAAAGGCATCCCGGATAATCCCATACAACGTTGCGCAATATTCCGACGAACGCATCGGTGCATCCCGATGGCGCATGTCTATCGAAAAAGCAAAGAGATCTCTCCGCTGTAGTTTCGCTTGGTTGAGGCCAGGATCAGGGATGGCACTCGAGACACACCCGGGGGATTTTGGGACAAAAAGTTCCGCTAGAAACTCCGGGTCTCTCCCGCTTATCCAGAAGCCTTCAACTCACCCTTTACTGATCCACATGTGTTCCTATAGCCACTTTTCGTAGGGTGCATAGTCAAGCTGCATATAGTTTTCTCTCACGTACTCGCACACGCGCGTCAATCCAGTCGAAAGGTATCACGAAAATATAGACCGTGAAATTTCTAAACGAGATTTAAAGTTTCGCACGGCCAATTTCTAGCCGCCGTTTAACCTGCCCGCACGTAATTACCGAGATAACGAGCTTTGTAAAACGGTTAGAATTCTGAAAAAAGAGATTAAGCGAGCCATTTACTCTAAGTGTAAGTCATAAACGAAAATGTAATGGTTTTAAACAGGATGTATGAGCGTGGCTTAAGATAGTTATTTGTGCTATGTGTACTTATTAATAAGAGATTTCACAATCCTTTGAAATTGTCTCTTTGCAGATCATATATAATATTGAAGAGAGAATTTACTTAAAGTCAATTCAATTAGCAAAAAAGATAAATATTCGAAAATGCTATGCGAAAAAACGTTTTTATATAGATTGCTTTGTTTGGCAATGTACATGAAAAGGTTTTGCTGAAGTATTTAAAAATTTAATTAGAATCTTAAAATAATATAGGACTATGAAAAAATTTTCTGGAAAGGAGAACCGGAGTAAGTGTTTTTTTATAGATTTTGAGATTTTACTTAATCCGAATTTGTAATCCATTTTGCTCTATCATATCTAGTTTTTTTTAAACGTGATTTATAATGCCCTCGCCTGAAAGAAAATCCTATGTTCATCTTCGTGATTTATGCCTTGTGCGAATTCGGCACATCATACTAATATTATAGGTATTATAACTAACATGTAGAATAAATTGGTGCACGGAAAATATGACTGCGATTGCCACGACTAAAAGTGGCCCATCAAGAACTACAATATGATTGTGATAATCATAAGATTGGCATATCTTACGGTTATAGCTGTTAAGATATGTCTTTTTATAGTTATCACAATCAAATATATTAATGGGTGAAAATTAATCATTATTTTCGATTGTGGCAATTGTAATACTTTTTCTGTGTAAAGTATTATTGTATAACATACAGGAGATCTATAAATAGATCTATAAATGCAGTTACAGAAGGTTTTTTCAGCTTTAGAATTGGATTTTAATTGTTATTTTTAAGAGATGAATTAAGTAAGCTAAACAGAGTTTTCTGAGGTAACGATTGCTGCCTCTCCCCCTTCTACGCTATTCGAGGCTCAACGAACTGAGTCGCGGATTACACGTGTGATATAGCAAAAATTTTTTCTATTTCTTGCGCTTTAACTTATTAAAATTGCCATATTTATTTTTGCTCTTTCCTCAAATGTATCAATTTTCATAGATTTTCTATCATTTTTCTAAAAAATAGGTGGTGATGGAGCAAAACCTTATCAATTCGGATTACTGAATACAAAATGATACCTAAAAAACCTACTTCGGTATGAGTTTTCTTCCAAATGTTGAAACTGATTGTTAAAAATACCAAAACTTTTTGCTCATCGATGTTTGAGATAATTATTCCGATGATCCAACAAAATTGTTTTCAGATCTATATTTATAGCTATATTTAGAGATACTTTAACAAAATAATTTTGTTTTTGTATAAGAAGATCACACATTAATGATTAAGAATATTCAACCTAAACATTTGATTCTACGTGTGATTAATTATCGACCTGATATTGAACCTGATTAATCAGATTAATCGTAAACTCCCTCGGGAATTGTGAGCTATTAGCATCAGTCTATTGATTTCTTGAGCGTTCACGTTATAAATTATTCACCACCTTAACAGCCTTCGCATTCGTTATTTTACCGTCTAATCACTATTATAATATATATAATAATATAATAATATAATAATATAATTCTGCGAAATTAACGTCGTTGATTCGAGCATCGTCTTGAAAATATGTATTTTATAGCCGTGTTCTTAACCGATTTTGCGATGTTATGTATCATGTATGCTTTCCAAATCATGTTCATGTACACGAAGCGTTAATATTATAATATTATGGGTACCAGGAACAGTCTTTTCGTATGTTTCAGCATGTAAATGAATGTAAAGGGAGGTATGCAAATCATACGCGGCGAGTGACACCCACATATTCTACGACCAACATATTTTGCGAGTATACAGTATGATGTGTTTGCATGGATGACATTTTCGTTCAGTTGCTTTTAAAATGGAAGTCAAAATAAATGACTTATTAACTTGACAAAATTCCGATGACATCTTTAATAAAGATGAATAATGCTATATAATTTATAGATACTGGTACGAGAGATACATCGTCGAATTTTATTATCGCATTGCTTTTATCGCTTTGTACAATGCACACACGTTGTAAATTAAAAAATACATATTCACATCAAAGGAATTTATAAGAGAAATGGCTCATATCAAGTTTAAATGAGTAGAGATATTGATTTTATCATTATCATGTTTAACAATTTCGTACTATATTTTTTTACGTGTCACTATGTTAAAAATCGAATATTAACGTACTAAAACTAAATTTCTTTCGTCATCTTTTAATCATGGAATTATAGATCTCAGAACGTGTTATATTGAAACCTCCGAAAATGGAACGATCGATAAAGAATATTGGTGATTTTCAATTCAATGAGAGGTTCAGTTCCTGATCAGAAATTCAAATTGAATCGAGGAAAGCAGAAACATTTCTGTCACACGAAAATTGTAATAAAGAAGATACTGTTTTGAAAAATGACCTAAAAAGCTCATATAGAAGATTCTTGAGTTACAGCAGATAGATGAAAGAAAAACGTAGAAAATGAGAGCGTTAAATAGTCGAAATGGCATTTCCATAAGGAAATCTTGTTTTTTTTTTTGCGTGAAGAAGAATGGATCATTTAATATAAACCTATACCCGCCCATAAACCTATATCATAGGGTATAAAAAAAGTAAATTAAAAACTCTCTTCAAATTGTCATGGAATTTATAATTCTAGTAAGGACATCTCGCAAAAGGTGTCCTTATTACTTGAGGACAGTTTTTTAATTTACTTTTTTTCAACAGAACTTGCCTTGAAATAGACAACAAAATAGAATACTAGTATTCGTGAATCTCTACCTAGGATCATGAAGCAATTGAACCGACAAGCTGTATTAAGAAAATATAAATTCCACATTAATCCCAAGACTTCGTGTAAAAGGAACCG